GAAGTGGCTGGAGTGCTGCAGTCAGGGCAGTGTGCCAAGGTAACTGCCGGGTCAGATGCCCTCTTCCCCCAGGACCGTCGGCCCCTGGGATGTGGGGCCTGCAGCCGGCCTCGGGATCGGAGAACCTCCTCCCAGCACCCCTCCCTGTGGACTCCTCTGGGCCAGAACTTCTGAGCAAGCCCAAGCCCCTCGGTGTGCGAGTGGGAGCGCCAGGGACAGGGCACACGTGAGGTCAGTACCTGTGCGACCTCTGAGGGGGTGTGGCCTCAGATGCCACCGCGCCAGCTGGCCCTCCCCTGGGAGCTCCCTTGGCGCAGGGGCTGTGCCTCCATCGGACAGGGCTCCCTGAGGCAGGGCTGTCTTCCCTCTGCTCCTCCCAGCTGCCCAGGGGCAGGAAAGGACCAGACACTGAGTGGGAAAGGGTGTGGGAGGCACCCACAGAGGCTGGTCTTTCCCACCAGCTCGTGGGTTATTTGTCCTCACAAGTGAGCAGGAGCGACTTCCAGGCCCATGACACGAAGAGCTGGTGACACATCTGCTCCTTACTTCACAGAGCCCAGGGCCCTCCCTCCTGTAGCGCTGGGTGCTGGCCGGGTCAGGAGGTGCCCTTGGGGATGTGGCGCAGACATTCCCAGATGCCGGGCGATGCCACGGGCCCAGGCAGCGAGATTCTCAGCCGGATCTCGGGGCCCAGACGTCCAGCCCCTCCTGGGCCCTTCACCCACACTCCTCTGGGCAAAGTTAATGCTAAAGACGTGGCCCCTGGAGTGTGCCAGAGCCTCTGATGCCCTTGATTGTATCTGGTTTCCTGTGCTCCTTGGGGAGGAAGAATTTCTTGGCAGGAAGTAGTTTAATGGTCTGAAAGCCGTACTTCCTGGTCTTGAGATCCAAGTTTTCAGTTACAAGTGGCTGAGATCCCTGCCGAGGAGGGAGGCAGGGGGAGAGGACAGGAGCAATGATAGCTTCCTCCTCAGACACCAGTGAAGAGGAAGCCAGACAGGGTTCAGCCGTTGCCACCCGAGCCTCAGGGCAGCAGAGGGTGCCGCCCCCTGACCCCCACCCAGCCGTGGGCTCCTTGCGGGAGTCGGCCACAGGGAAGCGGAGGACAGCCAGGCCTTGGGGCCCTGCCCCGGGGTCAGCAGTTGGCTGGACGCTTCCTCACCCCGTGCCGTTCCCAACGCCCTGTACGATTCTCTCTCTTTCCTTCTGAGTCAACACAAATCTACGAAGCGGCTGGCAGTCCTCACTGGCAGGGAGTCCTCTGGTGACTACACTGAGTTCTTCCCGCTCCAGTGCCGTGCCGAACCTTTGGGGCCTGACCAGGACACGGGGATCATGTGGGTGTTTACCACGGAAGGCCTTTGAGGCCTGAAATTGGCCACAGCCGTGACGACGCCCCCGAAGCCAGGCAGGGGTCAGCGGGGAGCAGAGGTCGGCACCACCAGCAGGGGACCCCACCCTGGGCTGCAGGGCGCAGGGGGAGGCGGGTCGGGTCTGGGACCCAGGGCTGCAATGTGGGGGCCTCCCTGTGGGAGGTGGAGCCAAGGAGGAGACACAGCTGCTGCCTGGCACCCGCGGCCTCGGGGACAGAGAGGGAGGAGCTGTCCTGGCATCTGTCCCTTCCCGCGGGCACTGCCGTGCATCCCGAGGACCCACCTGGCTCACGAGCCGGTGAAATGCCACTGTGGGGGCTCAGACCGTGGGACGCAGAACAGGGCTTCAGGACCAGCTTGCTCCAGCCGCTCCTCCGTCCTCGGCCCAGCAAAGGGGCTGTAGGGCTTAGAACAAACCCCAGAACCTTGACAGTGACCCGCCCAGCCCTGGGTAACCAACCCAGATCACACCTGTGGCCCCGCCTCCCGCCCTGGCCCCCTCCTCACCAGCCACTCTTCCTGGAGCCCCAGGGTTTGTAGTCTTGGCCTCTGACCCCACTTCTGAGCCTTTCACTGGCTCTGGCACCAGCTACAGTGGGAACGACTTTCCCCTCCAGCCAGCCTCACTCTTGGCTTCGGGGACCCCTCTCCCCTGCCTTTCCTTCAGCTCTGCCCTCCCTCTGAGAGTCTGTGCCCCCTTCCCCCACTGTCCTTCCACGTTGATCTTCGACAGGAGATACTAATAGATTGACTCATGCCATGGAGCTGCAGCTATCTCTGCTCCTAAGAATAACAGAGAGGGCAGCTCTCAGTGTGGGTCTCAGGCCCTGAGGGGTTGGAGGTGCTGGGCCATCCCTTTGATGGTATCTTCAAGGAGCTGCCTGTGGACAGGGCCCCACTGGGAGTGTCACTGGCCCCTGTGGCTCCCCCTTGGCTGGCAGCTCACTCCTGAGGGCAGCATCTCGTCTCACCTTGAGGGCTAGTTCCCAGCACAGCCCCAGGTGGCCAGGCCTTGCACCCTGATTTGGGAGGGACACCCCGAGTGTTGGAGGCACATCAGCGTGCCTCACCCGCTGTGCACCCCGGACGTGCAGCCTCCGCTTCTCTTTCCCACGTGGAGGAGAGGGGGGCTGGTCTCTAGCCGGCAGGGGGGCGGGTGCGAGGGGCAGCCCTTCCTGTGAGAGCCTGCCCCACCTCAGCCAAAGTCCTGCGTCCGGCCCTTTCCCACCATGGAGAAAATAGCAAGAAAAACAGATGAGAACTGATACCCTGGCTGCAGGGTCTGCTGGGACCTGGCCCTGGAGGAGCCCAGGAGCGAGGTGATCCAGGGGCTCCAGGAAGTCAGGAAGGGAGGGGGGGCCCTCTCGCACTAGGAGTTGCCTCCCTGCCGCCTCCCACCTGGACACTGTCAGTACCACCTCCTCTCTCGGTGGGTCCTCATGGCCCACCCCCCTCCCTGGAGGTTCTTCGTCAAACAGGGTCCAGCGTTCCCACGTGTGAACTTGTAGGATAGGAACCTTCTCGCTCTGCCAACCATCCTGCGTCCAAACAGCCCAGGCGGCTGTCGCCCTGAAGGAGAGCGGGTCTCAGAGCAGGAGACGTGGAGCCAGGAGACATGGCGCACGATTGCCGCTTCTGGGTCTTGAATCTGAAATTGGGGCTCCTCCCAGGATGCTACGGGGTTCCCTGAGGCATGAACGTGAAAGGGCTTGTCGACAATAAACGCGCTATAAACCCTGCAGATGTGGGTGGTTCCGGCCGCTACCTTCCTTCTGCAGCGGAGGTGGCCGGGTCTCTGTGTCCCTCGCCTCCTTCTCTCTCCACGGGATGACCTGTGCCCTTCGGTCTGGCCCCGCAGACTCGTGGCCAAGCTTCTTGGGGACAATGGAGACACTCGACGTCTCAGGAGCAAGCCTGAGCCAGGCGCTGGCAGAGCCTGTTTGCTGAGCGCCGTGAGACACCAGAGGGTTCTGGGTGGGAATGTTTCAAGGGGCGTGGAGGTGTGGAGCCCAGGCCCAGGAGGACTGGGGGTGTTTATACATGTTATCGGGTCCTCACCCTCTGACGTGGGTCCCGCAGGCCCATTTCTCAGAGGAGGAGTTGATGTAGTAGCTTGCAGACTTGGGGGCCAGACTTGGTCTCCTTCCAGCATATGCACCAGGTGGGCCTTCCTGCTGGGGTCCCCGTGGAGGGAATGGCTTCAGCTGTAGCCGAGCCAAGGTGCAGGCGGAGAGAACCCCAGGCAGGTGCGGCCAGTGGGGCAGCTCTCAGGGCTGTGCTGTGGGGACACAGGATGCATGATCACAGGGGAGGGGAGGATGGGGGAGTCACCTGGGTTCCTCAGTGTCCCCACCGGAAAGATAAGGAGATTAGAAATGAGGCTCCCATCCACCTCGCTTTGCAGGTTCCTCCCACCCCAAACCGCCCCTCCCCTTCCCCAGGAGGAAGGGCCTTGGGCGTCATTGCTGTGAAGGCGAGAGCCACAGGCGCAGGAAGAGAAGCAGCTGGAGGGAGGCCCCTCACACCCTGGGTCTCAGTAGCTGTTTACAGGCTCGCAGGGCAGCCACCGCTGGCTTGGAAGCCGCTTTGGAAAATAACCATGGACGGGCGGCTGTGCTGAGCCAGCTCCTCGCACGGAGCCAGGGGCCCGGCCTTTGGCCCCTTCTCCGAGGCCGTGTGTGGCCAGAGGACACGGTGGCTGCTGGCCGGGTGTGCTTCACGGGACGTGGGGACATGGACACCCTCTGCCTCAGTGGGGGGTGCTGGGTCGTCACCTCAGTAGATTCTGTATCATCCACATGTTTACATCGTCCGGGTATCCTGTCCTGTGACAGCTCGTTCCCTCGACATCTTCCCTTGCGTTTCCTTTCAAGGACAGGTCACAGCCTGCAGCTGCCTGTTGCCTGATCTCCTCCTGTGTGCTCTGTGTCTTCTCCCAAAGGTGAGCTGAGAGAGGCGGGTCCTCGTCTCACTCCTAGCGGAGAGCAGTGCCTGGGACCCACAGCACGCAGAGCTTGCTGAACACGAGCAGAGGCGCAGGGAACACAGCTTTCTCTCCTGAGAGCCATCTCCAAGGGGCCCGGGTGTGCACAGCCGGTTCTTGAGGCCAAGCCATGTGCAGTGACGGGGAGGGGAGGGGAAGGGTGGGCGGAGGAGCTGGGCGATGGGGGGCTGACCGGGGAGTGGACGAGCCCAGAGGAGGGTGTGGATGCTTCCTGAGTGTTGCCGCCTAGGGAGGTGGCTGAGTGGCCGGTGGGGACAGGAGTTGGGGAGCCAGCAGGTCACAGGGCACCATGCACCTCCACGTCTTCACCTGCTGACGCTCCCCACCCACGAGGGGGCCGTGAAACAGGGATGAGGCCACCAGGGGACTCGGCGATTTCACTTTGGTGATTTTATTAAAACTCCTAAGCAGTGTCCTCTGCTTTCAGTTATGATTTCTATCATCAGCCAAGAGAGGTGAGCCAGTGCGTGTCCGAATGGCAGATCCTGAGAAATTGGCACTTTAGCCAAAGTCACACACTCCCCGCTCCCTGGGCTCTGGGCCCTGGCGGGGGTGGCCTCCTCTGGGGGGGCGGGGCGTAGGGGAGCCTCGGGGGGGACTCACATTCTGCCCTCCCTCCCCAGGTACAAGACGGTGGTGACGCCCCGCAGGGCCGCGGTGGCCATCGCCGGCTGCTGGATCCTCTCCCTGGTGGTGGGCCTGACGCCCATGTTCGGCTGGAACAACCTGGGTGCGGTGCAGCGGGCTTGGGCGGCCAACGGCAGCGCCGGGGAGCCCGTGATCAAGTGCGAGTTTGAGAAGGTCATCAGCATGGAGTACATGGTCTACTTCAACTTCTTCGTCTGGGTGCTGCCGCCGCTGCTGCTCATGGCGCTCGTCTACCTGGAGGTGTTCTACCTGATCCGCCGGCAGCTCAGCAAGAAGGTGTCGGCCTCCTCGGGCGACCCGCACAAGTACTACGGGAAGGAGCTGAAGATCGCCAAGTCGCTGGCGCTCATCCTCCTCCTCTTCGCGCTCAGCTGGCTGCCCCTGCACATCCTCAACTGCATCACCCTCTTCTGCCCAAGCTGCCACAAGCCCAGCCTCCTCACCTACATCGCCATCTTCCTCACGCACGGCAACTCCGCCATGAACCCCATCGTCTATGCCTTCCGCATCCAGAAGTTCCGGGTCACCTTCCTCAAGATTTGGAACGACCATTTCCGCTGCCAGCCCGCACCCCCCGTGGACGAGGGCCCCCCGGAAGAGAGGCCGGACGACTAGACTCTCCCTGCCCACAGCCAGAGCACCTCAGCGCGGCCCTCACTCCCCACCGTCCAACTGTCTCCATGGGCCTCCGGGCCGGGCCGGGGGTGGGGGGGCTGTCCATGGGGGGAGACCAGGCAACCTGGGGGAAGGAGGGAAGTGCCTTGAGCCACCCCACCTGCTGCCTGTCCCTGGGCAGCCCCTGCTTCAGGCAAAGGGGAGGCCATCTCCGCTCATGCAGGTGAGGGGCTCTCGTCTCAGCGGCTGTGACCCTGCAGCCTGGGACCAGGCCTCAGGAGGGAGGACATCCCCTCCAAGATGCGTGAAGAAGATGCTGTCTCTGAAGGAGAAGGTGGCCCGAGCCAGTGAGGGGCAGCCATGACGGAGCCTCAGGCCCTATCTCCCCAGCCTCAGGCTCCCGGCCACGCTGGGGGCCACGGTGTCACCCCCTTGCTCTGAGCAGCCCAGACTGT